AGCATCTATACAAATCATTTCTGGAATTATGTCCCTATTGAAATAAAGAGTTAGGAATTATGTCCTCTAGGGGACGTAGATGTAAAGGGATGTAAATTTTATATGCTAAATACTTTAGGGACCTATCTTTATTTATAACCTTGTTAAGGACTAGTAGCAAGAGTTTTTTTTGGTTCTTGTCTCCAAAAAATACCCGTTTCATCAGCATTCCAAATATTATCCAATAGATATTGTGCAATAATAGCACGTAATCTTTCTCATTCTACATTAAGCTCATTTTCTGATGGGGTGTTACCATTTCTCCAATCTTTATATATATTCTTATTCCATGATGCAACTTGAATCATGCTAGCCAACCATTTGAACCACGAAAATGTTCTTCTCCAACATTAGATGCAAAAATTTTTGTCTTTTCTATAGGAATTTCATCTGTTAATATCATTTGTCTTGCAAATGCATATTGTAATCACCTCTTCAAAACCTTTTCAGTTATAAGAAATTCTGGTAAACATTCTTTTTTTAATTGTGTATTATAACTATCATCCTTAAGTTGAAGCTACCTATTTTTATTTTACCAAATATCAGATATCGCTTGCTCAAATATATTATATAAAAGTGCCAAATCTTTTTGCTTAGAAGGGCTAGGTATGAAAAGCTTTTGGCAAATCTCATGTTTTGTAAAACCCGATATTGCTGTACACTTGTGTTTTGTATCAAGTGTAAGTGCCTTATTAATTCCAACAGCTGACATTTCGAAAATGCTAATAATATTCTTATTTATAGGACCAGTTAAATTCAATATTTTTTTGTACAGTATAGATTGTTATATTACTTAGCCGTAAGATACAGTATATTAAACATAGATTCACCAATTAAATTTCACCTTTTTATTTTATATAAGCTTTTCATATTTTGTGTCATTTTTAAAAAACGTTTATCACTTGTTTTATTCTTTTTAAAAATACTGCTGATATAATGTCACAACTATTGAAAATAACCAAGTATGATATTATTATTCTTAGTACAGGTTTAGTCAAGTCAAATATTAAAATATGTATCACAATGCATTGGTAAGAATAGGAAAGTCCATTTTGCATCTAGATACAAATGGACTGTATGGTGGAAGTTGGTGCTTACTCAATTTTCGAAAATTCTGGATTGGATTTATAGCATACAAGGTAGTTCACTTGATTTAGTTTTTAATATCTTGTATTTTGAAAAGCGAAATTGATAGTTCTTATATGTAAAACTTTTTTAGATCCTATTAATTCAGTTGATGAAAGTGATTAAGAAAGTAATATGACATATTGGCAAAGCCGTTACCTCCCCTCCCAATTTTTTATATACCGTATCCAAAATAATAATAAAAAAAAAATCTTAATATAAACGAGTAAAAACAAAAAAAAAATAATATAAAAAAATAAATAAATTAGATGCCCT